CCCTCTCCTGCCATCTTACAGGCAGAGAAACTTATTTCTGGGGCCACCTACAGCTCAGCCAGCAAGAAGAAAAAACTCTCAGTTGTATGAGACTCTGAAATAAGCTGTTTTCCGGAGCCTGGAAGTGCTGTGAACACAGAGATGTGTTCTGATGCAGAAGTTTTAATGAATTTTGTCAAGAGTGTTTAAGACAGGAAAAGAAATGAGAAAAAATACGTTTCATTCTTCCTCTGCTCCTGGGAGGTACATATGTTTCGTTCACCGCTTTTTAACGTGGAAGGAAGATACTGGAGACGAACAGATGGTAGAGGTTTGAGGCATACTTACAAACACTGCATATGCTCGGATGAGAGAATTGAAATTGGCTGAAAAAGGCTGAATTCTAACATCTGTATCATGTTCAGTGTTTTTTTTTCTAGATTCATCATTCTTTGCAAAGCACATGTTGTCACTAACATGTAACTCATAAAGGACTCTCATTTGTGGGGTGATACATTTAATGAATTTCTAGGTTTCTCTACTGTGATGCTTAACTTTATGTGTCAGTTTGACTGGACCACAGGGTGCTCATGTATTTGCATGCTAAACATTATTCGTGTTCTCCAAGGGCATTTTAGATAAGATTCATATTTAAATTAGCTGATCGGGTGATTGTCCAGTCAGGTTGCACTTCTGTTGTATATTAGTCTCCTCAGTTGAAGTACTGAGTGTAGTGAAGAGGCCATTCTCCTTGCCTGGTAGCCTTTCAGTTGGAATGCTGGTGTTTTCTTTCCTTCATCCTCAATGGAAGGATGGATCTTCCTCGGTCTTCAGTCTGCTGGCCTTAGAGCTGTAACTACAACCATTGCCTTTCTTGGTTTTCAGACCTTCACACCTGAGCTATAACTAAGCCATCAACTTTCCTTTTGGCTTCGGTTTACCACATCACCCTGAAGATTTTAGAACTGCTCAGCCTCGTCAACTGCGTGAGCTCGTTGCTCATAATCGCTCTCTCTCTGTGTCACACACACACACACACACACACAACTTCTAATTTTAGTACCATACTGCCCTTCAGTTGCACACTTAGTAGAGCCATTGTGGTGGTGCCAAACTACTAAGGCCTTCTTAACGGACACAATAGAAGTGAAGAATGGAATCTGAAAAGTTCACTTTAAGTAGAAGACTTCTGTTTCTGGAAAGATGGAATAGATGTGCTTTTCCCTGTCAAGTACAACCAAAGGCCCTGAACATTATACATACCCCTATGGCTTGTGTCTGCGTGTCTCTCCAAAGCCTCATGCAGTCGCAGGGCTTGTTTGGAGGTAGCTGGATCTAGAGGGTGTGATTCATTAGTAATGCAATACTGGGATCAAGGGTGCTAGGATTAAGGGTGGGAGTGCTGCACCCATCCTCCGACAGGTACCCTGTATGCAACATAAGGGACAGAAAGAGGCTTGTCTGCTCTCTCTGTTACTACCTTTGCTGTCTTTTGCTGCCATGAACTGTTGCGCTTCTGCCTTGGCACCAGCTGATTATGGACTGAACCTTCCCCATTCTGTGAACCTAACAAACCTTTCCCCCTTTCTTTGGTGTTGAGTATCGTGTCTCAGCAACAAGAGTAATGAGACATACCCATATATAGTAACAGCAACAGAAGACTTGAAAGCTGGAAAGAAAGCAGATTAGCTAGGGACCTACCAAGGAGTAGCACACTGGGACTAGCTAGGGTTTTCTTTTTGCCTCATATCCCAGACTTTGATCTGAAGGAATCTGCACACAGAAACACTAACGGGAAAGGATATTTTAAAAAGCCTCTCATGAAGCTTGCTCTGCCTAGTCAGAGAAACAGAAAAGTGGCAGTCTACAAAGAGAGAAAACCATTACAAAGGTTTTTATACTCTAGCTAAATATTCCCAGAAGAGAACTGGCCCCAGCTGTACCCATAACCAGCAAAAAGGGAGTAGGGCACCTAATTTTTCTGCCTTTGTTGAAGCCCTCAGCCTCTCTACCAGCACAGTGTCTGGGGACCAAGTAGAGAGTGAGGGCTTTCTCTGCTGCCTAGTAGTAAAACGACCTCCAGCCTCGGTGTGATAGAGACACTGGTGAAGTCTCAGAAAGGAACTCACACCCTTCTAACACGGGAGGTGACAGTGGGGTCTGCTTGGGGGCCAACTCCCACCCCACCTAGCATTAAGGAGTTCTTCTTTTCCTCTCCCTCTCCCTCTCCCTCTCCCTCTCCCTCTCCCAACAGCAGCCAAAGGGGAAAACTAGACTGCCACCTCCACCTGTCAATAATAAGTTGGTAGCCCTAAATAAAACAAAACAAAACAAAAACAAAAACAAAAAAAGGGGCTGGGGATTTAGCTCAGCGGCAAAGCACCTGCCTGGTAAGCGCAAGGTCATGAGTTCGATTCCTGGTACTGGAAAAATTTAAAAAAAAAAACAAAAACAAAAGTTAGTAGCCTTCCTTTCCCTACCTGAGCAGTGTTGAAAGAAACCAGCTAAAACTGAAGGCTTAAATAATAGCCAGTCTCAGAAAATAATATGCATAGTGTCCAGGTTTCAATGAATCATTTATCACACTAAGAACAAAAAAGATCTGAAATTGTGTGAAAAATAAAAATCAATAGATTCCAATAAGAGAACAGAAATATTAGAAGTATCTGACAGCTTTAATGCAACCATCATAAGATGCTTCAGTGAGCAGTTACAAGCATTTTTGAAACAAATGAGAACAGGAAAAAGGCTCAGCAAAGGAATAGGAAGCCCTTGCAAATCGATAGAAGACATAAGAATTTTAAAGCTGAAAAATACAATAACTGAAATAAACTGAATAAGTAAGCTCAGCAGCAGAATGAAGAGGACAGAGAAATTAGTGATCTTGCACAAAGAGGAATAGAACTGTCCAATCTCAATAGCCCAAGAAAGCTGATCAAAACACCGAACAGGTCATCAGGGACCTCTGCAGCTATAACAACAGCTCTAACGTTGTGTCTGAGGAGCCCTGAAGGAAAGGAGGGTCATTGGAGTTCTGAAAGAAAGAAGGAAGAGATCAAGAGTGAAAATGTACATCACAAAAAGTACTTCTGTATTTCTGTGGGACCATCCTGATCTTTCTTTTCTGCTCTTTTCCTCCCTCCTCTCATTCTAAGGCATCTACCTTTCCTACCTCATCAATGTGATGTGTATTCAGCTCTCTAACTTATCAAAGGATGTTAGAAAAAGTTTCCATATTTCTTCTGTGTTTCGGGAGTACCGATATTACCACCCATCGTTTCCTTAACAGAGTAGAATTTGTTTAAGAAACAGGACTTGGTTTACGGGCAGAGCAGAGATACTGCAGGCTCACTTACATGTTACCGTTTGATTTCCAGGAGTTGGGGAGTGCTGAAATGATCGGTCGGATACTCGTATCTCCAGCTGTTTCTGGGAAGGATTTTGAGAGAACTGAAGGCATGCTGCTTTTTGAGCCCGGCCAGAGAAACACTGTGTTGGATGTCATGCTAATGCCGGAGACCGGGTCTTCCAGGGCCTTTCCTAAGCGCTTTCAGATTGTGCTTTTTGACGCTAAAGGTGGTGCCAGAATCGACGAAGCCTACGGGACCGCCAACGTCACTCTCGTCTCTGACGCAGCCTCGCAGGCCCTGTGGGGGCTGGCGGATGAGCTGCAGCAGCCCCTGGACGAGGACATCCTCAGGCGAGTGCTGCAGAGCATCAGTGTTAACGTGGCCTCTGAGAGCACGGAAGAGCAGCTCAGTGCCGGGATGCATTTGATGGAAAAGGTACGAAGTCCATATGCATGTCAGCTCTCAGTGCAGCAAAATTAAACTTCCAAGCCAGGGGTCACACTCTGTTCTAACGTCAGCTGCACACACCAGAAACAGCTACTTATCGACGTTGAAGTGATAAAAATATTGTACTAACATCAGTAGCTTTAAATGATTCCCTGTAGATATTTTCTGGATAAAATTAGCTGTGTCTTCAGGCAAGTTTTTGTATGACAATGTTCTAGCCTCTGATTTTTCCAGGTATGATGCACTAAAAATTCTTTTTAAAGCTGACATTTGCGCCAGGAACAATATCAGCCTTTCAGAATCCTGATGCATTTGTTATTCTAATTCTTAGTTTCATTGGGTTCGGTCTCCTGATTATTGAAGCTCGGTAAAACATGAGTCATGAGGTCTAATTTTGTGCTCGGGAACACTCGAAAGAGCTAAGGGATGAGTTGTTCTGTGAAGTTGGATCGACCATTCTCGAGTGGTCTCCATTTCTGTTCTCTATCCTGGTAGCTTACAAAATTTTTTCCACAGTTGATTCAGGTCTTCTATTTGTTCATAACTGAATTTTGGTAACTGTGGATGTTCCTTTGTTGTTATTTATATCAAGCGGCCTTTTAGAATCAGGCTGTTTATGTTCATTGCACACTTTTTAATACTGTGTATTTCATATCAGGATTTTTATGTGTGGTAGGTTTTATAATAATACTAGTGGTGATTTCGATTTCACTCCACACTTTACTGTCTGGGTTTGTATTTCACGCTTACAGTGATTTTGCAGGACTTGGCTGTGCACTGAGGCAGCCTGCGCTGTAGCTTCTGGACCAGGAGGTGGGGAAGCTGTGATCAGGGCAGGCGAGTCAGGAGCAGGCCTGGGCCAGCCAGGTCACCAGCTGTGTGCCCTGAGACACGTTAATTACCCTCTTTCTGCCTCTTCTGCCTTTTCTGGAAATAATAATATAGAGAAGTTCATAGAAAGTCCTGAGCATTATGAAGTGTGTGTACTAACCAAGTCCTTTAGAAATGACATTTTTGTTTTTGCATATTTTAGTAAAAAAAAAAAACCTTCATATTTCTCTTGAGCATGAATGAAAGTTTGAGTAGCTCTAGAATTCTTGAATTATAATCTTTAATGCTTAAAATTCTGCTCGTGTTGCTCTGCTGACTTCTGGCATTTTATTTTCAGAATGTCTGATGTCAAACTGAATTTTTGTTTCTCTGTTAGTAATCTTTCCCTGTCTGATTTCTAGTATGATTTTTTTAAACTGTAGATTTAGACATTTTAAAAATCACCCAGATATAGCTGATGTTGTCTCTTTTCCTGATTTCCTCTGATATAAAGCAGCCTGCAGTTTTAGACATATTTCTCTCATTTGTTAAGGAGCTGTTTTATTTTCTTTTTTGTCTACCTGCTCTTTTATATGTTTACATCTTAGGGATTTGCCCTGGGATTTATCCTGCTTGTCCGTTACACTTTCCTGAGTTCTGGGAGATTTTTCTTGAGCTTATTTTCTATTTGTCTTGTTCAGTTTGCTTGTGTCAGTGTGAGTAGACTGCCCTCGGTGTTCATTTGTCATTTTTGCATTGTTAAATTTTTATTCTGTCCCTTTTATCGTATTTCCCCTGTGGATTATTCTCCATTCTTCCTCCTTTTCTTTGAGGTGGATATTCCTATAAATTTATATCTTGAATTCTGCCGTCAGCTTAGAACTGTAACTAGATTACAAAGTTACCAAAAAAATGGGAACTGTGGAATCATTTTCTCAGGGAACTCATCCAGTAGGACAAACAGATGAATCATTTCAAAGTTATCACCTTATTAGTAGAGAAACATACAAGCTACAGAGAGAGATCATACTTGTTGGTAAGTGAGGCATAATGTAGGAATCCTAGACAAAGGGATGACTTCGGAGTTCGAGGATTGACAGGATTTATTAGCTCTAGTGGACTGCAGTGGGAGGTGTGCGCACAGCCTCACTCCCAGGCTTAGTCTGAGAGCGGAGGCGGGGTCCCATCCTTGTGGCTGCGAATACCACAAAAGCGATTTCACCTCCTTCTTAATTGCTTTGTTCCTCAACAACAAATAACCCAGTTCATTAAAGTGGGAGGATCAGACTGACTGAAAAAGCCTGTGTGCCAAAGATCCTGAGCACTTGGAGCTGAAAAGATTTTCTGATTCAGTGCGCTATGAAAATTTAGTGACATGTGGAAGCATCTGTCCTTTGAAAAGCAGGTAACTAAGAATAACCTCTCTTCCACTGTGAGCAAATGCTCTCGAGGTACTTCTTCCCTTATCTGTTGGGTGAAAGTAAAAGAGTCTTTGGAGTGGGTGTAAAGTGGGATTAATTTTAATTCACGATGTTAACTATCGTTGAAGTGATCCATGCAACTGTATTTAAAATGTATTTTGGTACCTTTTTTCTCTTAAATTCATCATAGGTTCGTCTCTACTTTGTTAATATTAACAGCTTAATAAAGCACACGTGGGATCTATACACTGCGTGTAATTTATGAAACTGAGTTTCTCATACATATTTCCGTACCTGACTTTTCCCCAGATAACTGTGGAAGGAAGGAATCAAGCTTTCAGTAGTGAAAGCCGAACCCTGCTCTATGAGATTCTTTGTGCTCTTGTTAACCCAAAGCGGAAGGACACCAGGGGGTTCAGCCACTTCACTGGCGTGACTGAGAACTTTGCCTTTTCTCTGCTGACTGATGTTCCCTGTGGCTCTGCTGCTGAAAAGTAAGTGGCTTCTACCACAAGAGCCCTAGAGTGGAAATGCAGCTCACTGAAGCAAACATGGCCACTGCACCAGAAGAGAAAACTTACACTGTCAAGAATAGGTTCCTCTCATTTCAAAATGTCCTGAGAGTTCAAAAGTCATATTGCCTACTCTAATTTAAAGGGTAGAGGGCAGATTCTGAATGGAAGAGAAGGAAGCTGATCCTACCCTTAGGAGAGTTTCCTCTGCTGTTACTCTGCTTCTCCTGAGGGTGCTGGATGTTGAGTCCCTGTGGAGACAGTTCTCAGAATGGGGGTGAACCTCAGGCTCTGTGTTTCATGGCAGGAGTTCCACGGCAGGTTTTTCACGCACAGTGGTATATAGGTGATATTCATTAGGTAATTTGGAACATGGTAGCACAAAGCTAAAAGTATTTTATTTCTGTTTGAGAATATAGAAATCATTTGTAAAAAGGACATGGTTGGAAAAGGAAATTCCTCTTGATTTTTGCAGAGTAAATATATACTACCCCAAAGCAAGGACTATTATTTGACTTATTAAATGGGACACATCTGGTTAAAATGCTTGTATAAAAGCATTTTAAATTTTTAAATTTTACTTTTTAAATTTTACTCCCTGTGAATGTTGTCAGTTTATTAAGTCACACTGACATTTGGAAGAACTTTGAAGAATATATTTAAAAACTGTTATGATAATTTAAAGCATTTCCCTATTTTCAGGGTCTTTTATGAACTCTGACAGAGTTACTAAAAATTGTTTGGATATATAAAACTTCTAATGATAGTTCTTAAGTTATAGGACACATGAAGTTAAAATACATAGTCAGTCCACATATAAGAGGAAGATAAGAGGAAGCAAGAGATAAAATAATAATAATAATAGCATTATATACACTATACTTGCTATAGTCTTGACTCTGTATTCAGTTGGACAATAGGATTAGATTCGTTTGTAGGTTAAAATACTATAATACTGAAATTATAATGGTTAACCACAAAAGAACTGAAAGCAGATTTGATCCGGTGCCTCTGGCTTGGTGGTGTCATTGCAGTTGATGAGCCGGGTCCCCATGTAACACGTTTTAACCAAGATACGTGGATGCGGATGAAAGTACAGGCTGTGTTGGCTGATGCTTTGCTTTTCTCTTACAGAAGCAAAACCATCCTTGACAGTTGCCCTTACTTGTCAATACTGGCTCTTCACTGGGATCTCCAGCAAATCAATGGGCACAAGTTTGAGGGAAAGGAAGGTGATTATATTCAAATTCCAGAAAGGTTTTTGGAAGCTCCAGATGCAGAAACAGTGCCTGGAGAAAGCACCTGTAAATTAGTACAGTTTACGGAGTACAGTAGCCAGCAGTGGTTTGTAACTGGAAGCAGCCTTCCTGCCCTGAGAAGTAAGGTAATCTATCATTGAAAAAGTTACGTGTGCCTGGCAAGCGGAAGGTCATGAGTTCAGTTCCCGGTACCGGAGAAAAACCAAAAAACCAAAAAAAAAAGAAAAAGAAAAAGAAAAAGTTATGTGGTTGAAATCCTTTTTCTTAGCAGATACACTCAGAATGCATTTGTTTGATCACATTATTTTTTTTCCAGTACCGGGAATCAAGCTCACAACCTTGCACTTGCCAGGCAGGCGCTGTGCCGCTGAGCTAAATCCCCAGCCCCTTAAAATAGAAGGGTTTTTGTTTTTTTTGAGGTACCGGGGATCGAACTCATGACCTCGCACTTACCAGGCAGGTGCTTACGCCACTGAGCTATATCCCCAGCCCCTTGATCAGAGTTTTGACAACTACTGTACATTGTGAATATTAGTTCTCAGGCAAAGCGGTCCATCTTCATGAATCATTTAAGAATGTTTCTTTTGGAAACACATTTTTCTTATTTTATTAAGTAAAATATGTATGTGTATGTATACATGGGAAAATGAAAAACACAGCTTTCTGTACTACATCCTGTCATACACCTCCCTCGATGTCATCAGCTAATTAGTTAAAAATGAACTTTGTCAGCTGAAGAGTTTTTACTGGGGAAGGAAACATGAGCCATAATTTATGGAGGGAGATATGTGAAGGACCTTGGAAAGCATATGTATAAGTGGCTCCAAAATATAAAAAATATGAAGGAGGAATCTTAATATAATGAAGTAGGGGGAGAACGTGTACTATAGAAAACATTTAGATGGCAATGCATCAAAATGGAGCTAACTATTAATATCAGAAGGAATCAAGTGGCCAGTTATTAGAAAAATGAAGTTCAGTTCAGAGTGGGAGACTGAGTCACGACACTAAGCGGAAACAGGCATCGCATTTTCTGCTCCCTTTGACATTGTAGGTATTATCTCTGAGTGTGAAAGACCACAGTTCCGGAGTCCTGGCTAACAGTGAAGTTCTCTACAGGATTTATGCTGCCGAGCCCAGAATTGTTCCTCAGACATCTCTGTGTCTCCTTTGGAATCAGGCTGCTGAAAGGTACATTTTAATAATTTCTTAGGTTTAAAATTTGGTCTTCCTCATTCCTCTTCCTCACTGTACTCCATGTAGGTGGCAGCTTCTGGTGGGACTGCAGACTGGAGAATAACCCTCCAGTAAATAATCCTCCAGTACTGGGAATGCTCTATCCTTGTTCCCATGGCACATGCAGCCAAGTGACCTATGTATGTGTGCAGCTCAAAACTTCCTTCATTGCTTCTCTTTTCCTGGGTTGGAGCATGAAGTCTGCTTAATCTAGATTACTTTTCCAAAGTTCTTGTTAACTTGTTGGGCAGGAAGGGAGTTTCCTTCCATCCAGGCTGGTGATTCAGGAACTGAACCTCTACATTTATGTTTTTGTTTATTTGTTTATTTGGTGCCAGGAATTGGAACTCAGGGGCTCATGTTTGCCAGGCAGGTGCTTTGCCACCGAGCTACATTCCAGCCCTGGTGCTGTACGTTTAGAGGGGTCAGCAGGCTGGGAACTATAGTCCACAAAGGGGTTGAAATACACTTGGGGACTAAAGCCAGGTGTGGGAATGGTAAGAAGAGAGCAATTTCTTTGAGTCTCCTTGGCCTCGGGACTCACATTTCTGAGCAGGTGCTGTCGCTCATCCAGAGGGACAAGGATCCATACCAGTCATGAGATTTTGTTCTTTCTGGATTTCACCCACGCAAGCTGGGCTTCCAGATAGGCTTAATAGCTTACTGGGCCAATCAGCTATCTTTGAAAACATCAAGATTCTGGTTAGTCTTTCTTTGTGAGAAAAAATTTTGGATTTCAATTCCTAATGCCTGATACCAGATCTTAAATTCTAAATTATGATGGTGCAAGCCAATTTTTCTACCGTGGGATGGTGCCAAAGTGAACATGTTCAGTAAAAGCCATATGAAGGTTTGGATTTTGATCTTTTCCCCTATCAGTAACACCTAAGGGATGCTCTCTTGGGATGCTGAGCGGCCACACAGCCATAGCTGCTCAGGAGCCACACTGTCATGGGGTAAAGCTCTGAGACTACGATGTGCCACGTAGCAAGGCTACGATGTTCAGTGGGACACACACGAGCTCGGTGCATTTTTGCCTGACAGTATCTTCCATGTGCAATAGGTTTGTCATGATATGATCCCAGTATGAGTCCTAGTATTCTATAATCCTCACTATATGACTAGCAATGAATGCTTCCAGCTTAAATCTGCAGTTTGGGTTGGGAAGTTTTACAAATATACAGTGATGGACGGAGATGCACTAGGTGGAGGAGGCACAGCAGCATCCCTGGAAATGCAGGATGGACCAACTTGACGGGAGGAAGCCTGGAAGTGCCTTGGGAAACACATGTGTAAGCGGCTCCAAAATGCCCAAAAGATGAGGGCGGAGTGTTAGAGACGCTCGCAGGAAATTCCATAACTCTAAGCGAAGGATTTCGGGAAACACGAGGCAGGATGAGCATTACCCATCCCATGGCTGCGCTGTCCGCCGGGGACTTTGGAGCGAGGGGCGTGTGGGCTTGTTTCAGCTTAGGCAGGGGCTGGTGGCCGGTGCTGCTGAGTCGGGAGGACAACTTTGTGCACACGGAGGCTGCTATGGCAGGTGTGGCTGGTGCTAAGACTGCTTCGTACAATGTCTCGAGGTATCTGTTGGCTCATGTCCTGGGCAAGACGTTCTCTCCAGTGTGCCTGAAAACACGGTCTGCTTAGCTCTTGCATGAGGAACACTTAGGTTCAGCTGGTGATTTTTGTTCTGTAAGCAACACCTCTGCATGTTGTGTGTTGGTGAAACGGGAGTGGTGACTGCTGTGCTTCGCCCTAGCTGGTGGTCCGACAGCCCGCTGTGCAGGGTGGTGAGGGACACCTCGGACTACGTGGACTGCGCCTGCTCGCACATGTCCGTGTACGCTGTCTACGCGCAGATGCACAACTTCTCTGCATACAATGAAGCCTTCTTCTCTTCCGGATTTATATGTATCTCAGGTCAGTGGCGGTGTTTCCAGTCAATATGTTAAACTTTGTGAAAATGAAAGTCTGTTTTCCCATAGAGCTTTTGTAAATGCAAGACGCAAACATGCTGTGATTCATCACGCTCCTGTTGCCTTGTTAATTCATACAGCAGATGTTTATGGAGGGCCAACCCTGGACTGAGGATGCAGTAAAGAACAAGACATAGTACCGACTCGTAAGGAATATGTAGTGCGCTGTGGGATAGAAATCAGATCATAAAAAGGCGATGGAGTTTACGGTGCTGTGGTTTTGAGGGAAGGTTCCACAGCGAGAATGTCAGGGTTGTTTGCGACAATGTATGCAAAAGATTTTGTATTTTCCTTTAAAGAGTGCACTCCGTAGGGTGATTAGCGTTCCACAATTAGGAGCTCTGAGTAAATCAAGCATTGTGGTAAAGAATAGATCACCTTAGTTGTACATCTAGCCCTGTTTCTGGCAATAATAGAAACTTGAATTGTGTTAATGTCTGTCAAACTATTTATTCACCTCCCACTAAATGATAAAATTATTCATTTTTGCTATATTAATTATATAATTCAAAGTCTAAGAATTACTTGTATTTCTGTCCCTCACCTACCACCCATTCTGTGTCCTGATTCTTGTTTTAGAACCCTACACCTGCTTCTTTAAATACTTTACTTGTTATATAGAGACCTGGGTATAGGGTAATGATTAAAATCATAAACCCTGGAGCCAGGCTGGGTGAGTTCAAATCCTAGTTCTGCCATTAGCTAGGTGTAGAACCTGCAGCACATTACTTCGTTTTCACTCCTTCCAGGCCACGCCACCGTGACCACCTGTTCCCATCAGGCTTCCCCTCCCAAGCTCACACCTGGCTTGAAACCCAGCAGTGGACTCATCCAGTATGACACACCCATGGCGTCCAGTGTCCCACACCCAAGTCCAGTGTCCCACACCCATGGTCCAGTCACCTCCTAAAGCTCCCACCTGTTAGTACACAAGGCTGTGGGGGGACATCTGGATAGAAGTCACAGCAGTACTCACATAGGTTATAAACCATACTGTGTATCAGTGTAGCAGATACAGTAACTCAGATATTTCTGGTAATCTGGTTCAATGATGCGCATCTTATTTGGTATGTAAATAACCCCTTTCATAGTCTTTATTAGGAAAATTTTTCTGGAGATAAAATTAAGTAATCAATTACTGTTCTTTGTTCTGTTTCTGACTCTTTCCAACATAATTTAATCTTACATAGTTTTAAAATTTCTTAACTATATCTTAATTCTAAAATGAACTTAGATTCAGTGGCAAATGTTAGTGATTTCTTATTCTTAATACTATCTTTTATGAAGGATGACACTTCTTATTTAATAGATATTTCTTGGTAGTATGTGTAGCTCCAAAGAACAGAGACATCTTATTGTATTTTAGCTAATGAATTTAAAGAGCCAATGTACTTCATAGAATGATGAAATAAAATCAAAAGTTACCATGAAACAAAATCAAAAGTTATAATATTGAAATGAAAGTCTAGATGTCATTTTGTGTGCTCCCATAGACATAAACTCAAGTGCTACTCTGACCCACAAAAA